ACGGGTGGTGTGTTTCCACACAAACACGTGCATGTCACAGATCCGCCCGGAGGGGCCGGGACCTGGTCCACTCATTCTTGCCAGCAACCCCGTCAGCTTCACAGAGCCTCAGCTCGCTCCCCTGACAGCCCTAAACGTCTTCCTTCTTCCTTCCTTGTGTCCCAGGCGAGGTCACAGCTCAGCTGCGCTGTTCTCCCCTGTTGGGTGGGTGGCTCCCTAAAATGCCGGTCCCACCAGGACCCTCTGATCGCTGAGCCCGTCAACCAGCGAGAGTGTCACAGTGCAGCGCTGCGTGGGTGCTGCCTCGTCCGCACCCTTGCTGCGCCTTCCTTCCACGCCCCTCCTTGCACCTGGGGAGGCCAGGGGACAAGCCACCAGTTGCCTTTGGAAGTGGCCAGCCCGGTTTTCGGCTTTCCCTTTGTGTGTTTGCTAAGCATCCCAGAAGTGTGTTAAGAATGCAGCCACCCTAGCGGCGGTTGACGGGGCGTGAATGCTGTGTTCGAGCGAAGCCCAGCTGGGAATCTGGACCGCTGTCCCCCCGGCAGTCTGGTGCCCAGCAGCTCCAACTGCCCGCTATTTGCCTCACCTCATCTCTTTTCTGTTTTCCTCATGCCTTCCTCCCTTTGTGAGTTTCTTCTTCCTTGGGAGCAACTCCAAACCCTCAGGTGTCTTCAGGGTGCTTTGGGTTTCCTTTTTCTTAAGTAAACCTTTTAATTGAGCATAATTCATACAGAGAAGTGCACTGCTCCGAGGGTTCAGCTCCAAGAATGTCCACAGAATGAGCACATTAATGCAGCAAGCGCCCAGCTCGGGGAACACCTCAGCACAGGCATCCCCGAGCCGCTGCGAGCGCCTTCCACCGCCGCACGCCCCCGAGGGGAGCCCCCCGCTGACCTCTGTCCCTGGGCGTTGGCTTTGCTCGTCTCTGAACTCGACTTGAAGGGACTCACGCAACAGCACGTCTCTGAGGGCCACCCGTGTCGGTGAGTGTGGAGTTGCTGAGAGGTGCTCAGACTCGTGGTTTTCTCTGAAAGGACACTCAGTAATGTGCGGGAGAAAATTACCCAGCAAAGCAATCTTGCAACCGGCTTGAGTGTGGCTGGGCGCTCCTGGGGACTGACCTCCGACTGGCTGAGCTGGCGTGGAAGGGGCGCAGCCCCGTCCTGCTCCGAGATGTGCTCCCAGCTTCCTCTCTCTCTCCATCCCGATGTGAAGATCGAAATGACGGCAAACTGAATGCCGCGTGTTTGCCTGCATGAGTCTGTATACCAAGCTGTGTGCACCCCATTGGACGACTGTTCACCTGAGCCTGGGATGCAGACTAAAGCGGATCAGCTCGGGGTCTAACCCAGGGTGTGGGTCGGAGCCGGCGGCCGATGAGCAAACCGACAAGCCCCCGTCAGAGCCTCCTGCGCTTTCCCTTCACTCACTTCCATCCACGGGCGCGGGGCCCCTTCCTTCATTTTTCCACTTATGATGGGATTTAGGTATCACAGGGTTGAAGATGCACACAGTGATTTCACATAGCCGTGTTTCATACACCACCAAGAAACAACAAATGCCCAAGGTGGAGAGCCTAATGGAGACCCCCGCATAGAGCTGAGACACTAAAGGCATTCTCTGTGAAGCGCAGAGAGACAGAGCTCTTCCTTGCAGAGACGTGAGTGGGGGAGCACGTCTGCCTCCATCTGGGCACGTGGGGAGCAAGGAACTGAAATGTGGCTGAAGATTGGAACCGAAAGCCGTCTTGTGGCCTGGCAGTGGACTGAATTCACACTGGTGAGTGTGGGACCCCTTTTAAAGCAGCCTCTGCCTGGAGCACCCGCGGACTCTGGCGGGAGCAAGTGTACCTCTTCTCTGGAGGAGTCAGACTTCCCTCAGGCAGCTGCAGTCTGGAAGCCGATTTCAGATCTTAGCGTGTGCGTCCGCGGCCTAGGCGAGCACACCTACTTCTCAGACCTGTGGTGGAGGTTGCCGGGAAACTGCACGCTGCTCAGCATGTAATACGTTCCATCAATTGTCGTCCCCCTGGTAGCGCGTCCCACCTTCCTGTCTCTGTGAGTCGGCAGCCTGGAGACCCAGTGACTCTGGCCAGAGGACCCAGCAAAGTCGCAGCACGAGGCCTGCAGTGGCCGGGCTTCGGGCAGGGAGGCCTGGACCTGGCTGAGAGGGACTGACAAGCAAGGGGACTCTGGGCTGTGGAAAGGGTGTGTGCCAAGGCCGGGAGGTGGGCGTGAACACGGCATACAAGGAAGGAAGGAGATGGGTGTGGCCCGGTGTGAGAAGGAACTCGCGAGGGTGGGAGTTTAGAGCCCCGCCGTGGACGGACCGGTGGTCCTGGGAAAGGAACGGTGTGCAGCCCCGTCACCTAAGCGGCCCAGGACGAGCTCTGATGGGCAGCGCTTAGAGAAAGGGGAAGCCGGGGCGGCCTTGAGCCTGGACGTGCTTTAGAGGGCTGCTGTCGGACGGCGTGCTGGGGGCTGGAGGGGACAGGCCCCCGGGGAGGCCACTGCACAGATGCCGCGGGTGAAGGCGGACGAGTTACAGTAGCAGCATGTCGGAAGGAAAAACAGAGACAAAAAGATAGAAGAGTTTACCACTTACGTTATTTCAAAGACACAAAAGCTCAGAAGCTGTTTGCAAGTGCACGTAATACGCAGGGAACAGAGCAGAAGCAGAGCGGGACCGAGGCACGCCGCCGTCAGCGTGCGGGCGTGCGTGGCTGGCTGTGAGCTCAGGGCGGGAGCGCTCCTGTGCCCGCCATCTCTGATCTATTTAAAAGAGGGGGCTGTGGTAATTACAGCTATCCAGTTACGGAGGAGACGCTGGCACACTTGTAGTGATGAGCATGTCGGTGTCTGTTACATTATTTTCTGTAGGTTTGAAATATTTCCTAATTTTCTAAAGAAAAAAATTAAACGTGAAAAATTGCAAAGAAATGTATCAAAACATCCCCGGAGCATACTGCACCATTCACGCCGCGCGGCCAGCCCGGGAGACGCGTGTGTGCTTTTGTCCTGTGGTTTTCCACGTTCTCTGACGGTAGTATTTTTCATAATGAAAACCTTAGAGATGATTCTTTCAGTTTCTTTAAAAAGTAACTCTATGGAAAAGAAAAATGAGTAGGAACTATGTATCCACCTCTTTGTCTCAACCTCTTAGCGAACAGGGCTCCTTTGTAAGGTGTGACGAATGAAGTCGGCGGGCGGGGCTGGTGCTGGCGAGCCCCCGTGACGGGGTCCGCGTCCTACAAAGGGTGCAGTGTTGCTGATTCTGACACCAGCATTTCCGCAGGACTGAATTGATAGGATCTCTCTGAATGTGTTATTTATGGCACCAAGTGAAAAAGGTCTTGTTCACCAGCCAGACTCTAGGCTGGAAAGGGACAGACAGATCTGTGTGCGGCCTCTTGTTGCTCAATTTAAAACCAGCATCTTCAGAGTAACCCCAAGTAATTCAGCATCACTTTTGCTGCATCGGGTCGTGGGCCTACAGGACGGGGTGCATCCAACTGTTAGTTGCATAGATGGGCCCAGTCCTCCAGCTACTGGGGTCACCACATCCTTTGAAATGTAAACAAAGTTCCTCAAACCCCCAGTTTACAAACACTGGGAAAACCAGGCTCCTCTGTGCATTTGCAGGGAAACCAGCCTCCTCCCTACACTGGTGAGGAGACCAGCCTCCTCCCCACACTGGTGGGGAGACCAGCCTCCTCCCTACACTGATGGGGAGACCAGCTTCCTCCCTACATTGGTGGGGAGACCAGCTTCCTCCTGCTATTTGCAGGGAGGTGGGGGCATTTCCAGATTACCCCCAATTCAGCTGTAGTTCTTCGTCTTGGGATCTTTCTCCCAGACCGCCCGTCGGCTCACTTCACTGTATTGTTCCTCTTGAACTTGTGGTGCCCCGACTGGGGGCTCCCTCTGCCTCAGAGTTTGAGGAGTTGGGGTGTGAGACAGGGTGATAGAGGTGGCTGCATTACTGCACCACAGAACTTCTCCAGATGAACTCAGATCCCTGATATCCAAGCCCCTGCTGTGAAAAGCTCTCTGCTCTCCTTGCCTGGAACCTTCTGCAGAGCGCTGCTCGCCACTGAAGGACGCAGAGAGGGTAGCGGTGTGACTACGGATGCACACCATGGAGTAAGACGTGTGTGTCCAGCATCCCCGCCGAAGTAACACTTTCCTGGTCAAGCTGCAGTGAAGCTTAACCTACAGCAAGCCTGCTTCCAGAATCAACTGGCTAGAAAGGGGGCGTGTGATGTGAGACGGCCCAGGCGACCAGGAGATCTCGCAACCTGGTTATGAGAACAAGGGTGTGTGTATCCTCGAGTGATGGAGGTGCCCCTTCTGGGTGTTCTTGACGCTATGGGGGTGAATGTCACCACCTACATGGATGTCTTCGTCTGGTCTACTGCCTACAAACAGGATGGTAAGATGCTTGTGGTCAAAAATTCCTTCTTACAGCATCTTTCATGCTTAATAGAGTATTGAATTGAAATTGCTTCCTGTGTGGACACTTGCCACATCTACTCCAGCAGAAGCCAGCGAATCATTGACCCAGGACTGGAAACGGTCCAGACAGCGTGGCTAGTCTTACCTACGTCCCTGGTTTGCACTAAACAAAATATTCCCTGGGTGGAATATATACATTAATTATCCTAGAGATAAAAATTGGGACTGATACAATTTATTATGGAAAATTTCATAAAATTGTCACAGATATTGAGAAGAAAAATAGTGTAATAAACCATGTATTTATCATTCAGCTTAATAGTTATCAACTTAAAGAAACCTAATTACTAAAGCATATTCAGTCTTTTTTCGTCTATACACTCCATCGGGGTTAATTTGAAACAAATCTCAGATATCACATAATTTTGCCTCTAAGTACTTCAGTGTGGCTCTCTAAAATAGTAACACTCTTTAAAAAACCATTATATCAACATCGCACCTACAATAATTAATTACTTGATGGCATCAAATACCCATTCATTGTTAAAATTTTGCAGATTGTCTCCTTAATTTTTTACATTTGCTCAAATCAGGACCCAAAGAAGGTCAAATCATTGCAGCGGATTGATGCGCCTCTCAAGTCTCTTGAGATCTCCGATTTTTCCTTTTCTTTTTTCCCTCCCCTTCGGAATATATTTGTTGAAGAAACCAAATTATTCGTCCCGTAGGCCTCGGTGTTGCTCACCGCAGTCACGTGCTATCTTTCAGCAAGTGTCTCTGCCCTCTGGGCTTCTGGAGGTCAGAGCTCGGGGTCAGTTTTTTTTTTTTGTCAAGACCCCTCCACAGACGGTGCCGTGCGCCTCAGCTGGGACCACAGAACGCCCGGCTGTTCATGAGCAGCGCCTCGGTTGTGCTGCTAGAGTTGGCGGGATGGAGATCTTCTCGTTTCTTAGACCCTCTTCTCTCCGGCCTGCTCACTGCGGTGCTTCTGCACCGACTGTTTGATGACCAAGGTTCAGCTCACGCAGGAAAGGCCAGGCGCACGCTCCGTTCTTTCCCCTTGTTTTCCTGTTTTCAAAATACTAAGCTGGTTTCCTAGCATCGCCCAGCCAGCCAGCTGCTGTGGCCGCTGTCCTGCCTGAGCGGCAGAGGGACAGACGGGTCTGAACATGGAGGTGTGTTTCCGTCCGCGGCTGCTCTTAACTCTTACTGATGCTCAGACGGTCACATCTTCCCAAGGGGCACCTTGGAGATGTGATGTTAACGATGCCTCCCGTGCGTGCAGCCCTGAAGTGGCGTGCAGCTGTGTGGACGTCATCCAGCTCCTCTCACTCCGAAAGGCCTGTCAGGTATACAATATGGTAGTTACTTTTATTTGATTGTATTTTATTTTTTACCATTATTGTCCCTATCGTCATATTTATTTACTTCCTATTCATTGTTTATGCTTTTTATTGAAGTTCAGTGTTTTTATTTTAAATTTTACCTTTATTTTCTACCTTAGGTTTCTGTGTGTGTGTTTCTTTTTTCTTCTAACTTTGTTGCATGAGACACTCCTTTTCCCCGTCGTTGATCCACGGACGGTGGGTTTCTGTCACCTGCACCGAGAACATCCTAACGGGACAGGGCCCGGAGGGGATCACACGAGGGGGACTCCTGGGTCCTGGCACGGCTCTGGGGTCAGTGGCTTCCCTGGCCCTCCCTCCCTCCCCACCAGGCCGTGGACTTGTGCAGGCCCATGACCCAGCGCGGGGTGTAGGCCTGGAAGCCATCAGGTCACTGAATCGCTGCGTGACGAGGATGAGTAATGGGTGTCAGAGGAGGGGCCCAACCTGTGGGCCGCCCAGGACGTGGCACCTGAGGCCACCACTGTGTCCCCGTCAGCAGCAGGAGAGATGCGGGCATCTGTCTCCTCACACCGCCCGCCCCAACCTGGACAATGTGCACCTGGGCCCCAGTTACTTAATGCTGGAAACCAGCCGAGCGGGGGCCCCGCCCTGGAGGCGAGTGGCTGGCACCACAAGGGGGAACGAGCAGGGTTAACGAGACGCAGTCGGAGCCTCTGCAGGGATAATGGGGTATACTGGGCTGCGACGGAGCACAGGCCGGTGGACGGGTGTTCCCTGCCCCGCAGGCCCCAGGCCGGGTTCACACTTCACATCGACAATCCGCAGAGAAAACAGATGTGATTCTACAGGACAGTGGGCCTAAGCCGGCCTGTTTAGTCCTCTTCAGAAAGGAGGAAGGAAGCCACAGCTGGCCAGGGTACCTGACACTCTCCACCTGCAGCGGAAGACTTCAGAACGAGGCCAGAACGTTCCCGTGACCCCGGTAAAGCCTGCTAATGCCCTCCATCGGGGGAGCACGGTGCCAGGAGGCGTGAAGCTGTGACCGAGGGCTGTGAGAACTGCTCCACGAGCCTCCTAAGTAGCGGGCAGGCCATCGCTGGTGTTTCCCTTTCAGATAAAAGATGCGCAGGGAATGTGGGCAAGTCCAGCGACGGGCCCGGCGCGGTGCAGCCGGGGTCGACCAAGCCCGCTAGGGCCCGGGGGAAACCGCCAAGCGCGCGGCCTCGGGCTCCGCGCGGGCTTCCGGAACGCAGCCCGCCGGAGGGAAAAGTCAAGTGCTTCCTCCTTGCAGTACTGGGTCTTTTTAATCTAAAAATGAATGACATAAGCAAGTTTGCACAAGGCACATTTTGAGACCTGCAGACAAGACTCTGGCAAGAAACTGGGGTGAGGGGGGCCCGGGGACCTGCTCCAGGTCAGCCGTCCTGCTTCTGACGAGCCCCCTGCCCCCATGTGCTGAAGGGAGGCGGGGTCCTGCCCTCAGCCCTGAGCGGGCCCAGCTGGCTGGGGGTCAAACCGCAGGCGCGCATGTTCTCACAGCTCTGGAGGCTGGACGTGCAAGGTCAGGGTGTCACGGGGGCTCCCCCAGAGGCCTCCCTCCTTGGCCTGTAGATGCCGCCCTCTCCCCATGTCCTCACACGGGCATCGCTGTGTGTCTGTGTCAGAACCATCTCTTCCTGTAAGAGGGTTAGAGCCCACCTGTATGAAGGCCTCTTACCTCGATCACCGCTGTAAAGCCCGTCTCCGAGTTCCGCCATGCTCGGGGATGCTGGGGGTTAGGACCTCAGCATGTGAGTCCAGGGGACACAGTGCTGCTCACAACACGCTCTTAGAGGTGGTGCAGGTGGACGTCTCCTCTAAGGTGGAGCAGGTGGCTTGGCGGTCTGGGCGTTGGCTTCTGGTAACAGCAGCTGCGGTGGTTTGGACCAGCCCTCCTGGAGAAGCAGGACAGACATGCTCTGTGTCTCGGACATCAGAGAACTGAGACAGCACCGAGGAGCCGGGGGGAGGAGCCCAGGGAGGCGAGCCTGCCTGGGGGCTGCTTCTCCAACCAGGGGCACCTGCTGATGCTGCACTGGGGGCTGGGGGCCGGGGGCCTCTGGGCGCAGAGAATGGTCTGTTTTCGTGACCCGCTGCTGGTTACACACTGTGTTTATCTTCTGGAGATTCATTGAGCTGAATTCTAATTCACTCTTACGATTTGAGTACTTTTCTTTATGTGTTTTGCCTCAAAAAAAAAAAAGTCATTTAAAAAAGACTTGGCAATTAACCAACTAGAGTCCGAGGCCCAGCTGCTGCTTAGAAACGTGCCCTCAGGAAAGTTCCTCTTTTTCAAAACTTGATCCGTTTAGGTGTAACAGGCAGAGCTAAGTGATGGCCACAGGGTTGTCCCGAGGTGTGCGTGAGAGTCCAGGCCGTGGGCGCCTGGCAGTGGTGGGGCTGGGCCTTCCCCGAGGACCTGCCCTAGGCCAGGCTCCGCCCTGCACCTTCACTGTGTCTCTCCCTGTGGTCTGTGAGCAGGGAGACCAGTCATGGCCTACTGGCAGCCTCGCTCCGGGTGGGCCCGGTGAGTACTTAGCAGAGCTGAGATGCGGACTCAGGCCTTGTCCAGAACCAGGGCTGGGGACCCTTGTTTCCATGGCCTGCTGATCGCTCAGGACACGAAGAGTCCCACCCCACCTCCAGTTCTGTCCTCTGTATCTGCTACGTGAACGCCACCTCAAGACTGACTTCCAGAATTCGGTGTTGCTTCACAGCAGTTCCAGTTTGCCCAGACTAAAAGCGCTTGTCCCCATGAACTGGCTAGAAGCGGGAGGCATTTAATCCCATCTCAAGGTGAAATTGAGAAAGGCAGAAAATTAGATTACAGATTCTGTCCCAGAGTAACCAGAATAAATCTTTACTGAGCTCAGATGTAACTCAAATGTTCATTAGTCTTAAAGGAGAAGAAAGAAGAGGAGGGGGAGAGGAGGAGGGAGAGAAGGAAAGGGCCTCCATTTCTCGGGGCCAGGACGCAGGGGCTGCAGTGGAGGCTGGGATGTGATGCCTGGAGTCTCCCCAAGCAGAGCTGAGGAAGCAGCTTCTGGAATGTCCTGCGGATCTCAGCAGCTGGGGAGCCATGGGAGCCCCATCCTGCCCCCGCTGGCCTCGCAGCCTGGAGACGCGACGAGGCGAAGGAGGCAGAGGGGCTGTGTGCGGGGAAGCGGCCCTGGACTTTAGGCGTCTCTGCGGGCGGCTGCGGCTGCGCTCACCAAGCTGTCTTACGTACCTCTGTGCTTCCTTTTTTTGCTTCTGTTTTTTCCTTTAGTTGCCTAGTAAACATTTCTACTGGAAAATTCCAACCTTGCCTTGGACGGTCTAAGAGGAAAAGCAGCGTGTCCACACCCAGGCCAGCCCTGCCAGGGAGGCCAGAGGCCCCGAGGACGGGCTTCGTCGGCGAGGCCACCACAGTGGCCCTAGCTGGAACTCGGAGGAGCCTGGACAGCGGCACTGTGGGATGTGGACACAGGGGGTGTTGGCAGCGGCCACGGCTGCTCTGAAGCCCCAGGCCCGCCCCCCTTCCCTCCCCAACTCATTTGTTCCTGTCTTCGTCCACAGTCACAGTGTTTATCCTGTGTCTGTTCTCCTGACTCCTTGCCAGACGGGGTCCCAGAGCCGGGCCCGGCCTTGGGCAGTGGGCATCTCCAGTGTCTACGCGGCATTTAGTACCTAACAGGTGCTTCTTGCCTGAAATCACATGGGGTGAGATGGAAGTGGGGGAGGCCTGGGTGAGCAAAGGAGCTGGGGGGTGAGTCACGGTGAGTAAGGCACACAGCACCTGGGGGCCCCAGCAGGGCTTTTAGCTTTTAAATGATTATTATTTTGGAAAGTTGAAAGGATGTTGTCAGATAGATGCTCCCGTGGTTTGAGTCTGACGACGGTGAAGGCGGGTGGACTTGGCAGATGCCGGGCTGGGAAGAGGGGTTGGGGGACGCGAAACCAGGACCCTCGGGTCTCCCCACAAGGTGGCGCTCATCTCTTGTCTTAGCTCCCAAACTCGTCCTCAAATTGCTGCAGAGCAATTAGGAGGGCCATGAGGAGGTTCTGTGTCCGCCCTCCTGCACCGCCTGCCACCTGCTCTGCAGCACTGTAGACGCCTGCACATTGTTTTATGTCCCCGCGAACCGGGGTACAGGGCTGTCCCACCCCGCACGGAACCAGGCCCTGAGCCAGCTCGAGCGCCGTGTTTGGGGCGGTGGCGCGGTGACTGGTTTGAGTCTCTTGTGCTGGAACCTGCGGCCTCAGCCAGGGGAGCCGTTGGCCTTACTCTGTAGTGCTGCGGGGTGACCTCTCACACTGACCTGGTACTGCAGCCAGGCCTGGGCCTTTTCTTTGCAAGAGAAAGAACCCGCATCTCTAAATTGCACGCGAGGAGTTTTCTAAAATGCAGACTGAGCAACCCAAGACAAACAGTGACGAAATCACTTTTCTACCTCCCAAGCTCTTACACTACCGCTGTGGCCCTAATTGTTAATTATCGGGGATCATGAACTTCATCAAGTTTCTTCCCTTCACATGATTTTTCAGAAACCTCCAGGCATTTCACAGAACAATGAGGCCAATTCCAAAGATGCTAACACGGCCTCCCTGACAAATCTCAGAATCGGAAGGTTGACCTTATTTCCACCAGTTTTGAGAAAATTCTCGGTGACCGTCTTTCCCCGCGTCATGCCGCAGGGCTGAACGCTGAGGCTGGAGATGCGAGTCCACTCGATGTAGCAATCTCGTTGCATAAGGGAAAACAGTTGCAATCTGAAAACATCTCAAACAGTGCGCCCGCAGGCAGCCTTTTAAGTGTCCCCAGCTGGTGAGAATAACCTGTTGCGTTTCTGCACCGCCTTCTAGTACCCATGTCCTTACCCCCAGGGAACCCCGTGGGCCCCTGGGAGGGGCCTGGAGGTGGGTCACTGTCCTGCTGTGGACCGGGGCAGTGACTCAGGAGTGCTCGTACAAGGTCACCAAACAGGTGAGTCTCAGAACTGGGCTTAAAACCCACCCTTGTTACTCCTGGGGAACATGGCAGCACACAGAATCAGCAAAGCCTCGGCTTTTGTTCACATTCTGGTCGGGAATGTGGATAGACAGATGCGTCCCCACACAGGGGTCTGATTAACTGTGATGTGGGCTTCTGGGAGAAAGAGACAAGGCAGTGGGGCGCCCAGGCGGGAGGGGGTGGGATGCAGTTTTAAGGGGGCTCAGGCGCCATGTGAACAGAGGCCTGAAAGTGGGCGGTGGTGAGCCACGTGGAATCCACGTCTCGCTCCCAGGCAGAGGGACAGGCGTCACCAAGGCAGGTCCGTGGGCAGCGCAGCGGGGCCAGGGGGAGCAGTGGGGGGGGTGTCAGAGGGCGAGGAGGCGGCCTGAGGCGGGACGGGGCCCCACAGTCCTGGTCCCCTGATGGAGATGGAGCTGTTTAGGGGAATTGGGTTTCAAGCCGACGTGTGATTTATTTCTTCCATTCTAACAGGGTCACCAGGAAGTTTTCCTTACAGCATAAATTTCTGATAAAATCCGAGAAAGTGGTGGCCCAGGCAAAGAATATTACGCTTACTGTAACTGTAGTCCTCCCGAAAGAGACCACAATGGTGCCTGCTATAGGGGGGCCGGGCGGGGGCTCTCCTCACCCGCCTGGTTTCCTTCTGTCCTCACGATCGGCTGCGCGGTGGCGATGCTCTTACGTCATTTTGCAGATGAAGAAACTGAGGTTCAGAGAGGCTGAGAGGCTGAGAGGCTCAGGGTCACAGGCCAATCAGTCGCATCGCTTGAGCTCAGACCAGACCCTCTTCCTCTCCATGAGCACATGCTTGTTAGTGTCTGAAATGGTCTTCTCAGTGGAAGAAAATGTGACCCTTGCCAAAGTGCCTCATCAGAAATGCACCCACAATAAAAGCTGGTGAATATTGTAAATGTTCTTTAATTAACGCAGTGGCAGTGTCCTTTCCTGCCATTCAACCTGCCAGTCTAATTTTCAGCGATGAATTGGGTAATATTTAATAACTTTTAAAAGAGGGCCTTTGACTAATCTTTGTCCTATTTAGAAAACCAAACGACGTTTTAAACAGCATTTGTACATGTAATAATGTGATTTCCTTAATTGTCTGATTAACAAACAGATCATGCCAAACACTTAAGAAATATTCCTGGAAAGGTAACAAACAAAATCTGGACACACGATGCATTTTACATTCTCTTAAAATGTCAATGTACTATCATAATCTAAGTCAACTGTTTAACCACGTGGTTTAACTCAGAGCTGTGAGTGTGTGACCAGCACATAAAGGCCTCTTAAACGTAACAAATGGGAAGACACCAAATATGCACAAGTTTTTCTTGACCCCAGTGTTTCAAAAGTAGGTGCGGTTTATCTTCATCATTTTTACACTCAATTCTGTGTCTTTTTAAGATCAAATGTCATGTGCTCACTAAGGAAATGATATCACTCTAAATAAATCTGGGGCTGAATTCCCAGGTGAATTCTGGGGACCCCTGACAGTGGAGTTGCATCAGTGCAGGGGGTTTGGTGGGGTGTGTGAGCCAGAGCTAGAGACACACAGGACGGATTTCCTTGACGGCCAAGCTGTGCCTGCTTCTGGACTTGCTGTGCTGGTTCTGGACTTGCTGTGTCCCTGTCTGGAAACAGCTTGATTTACACCTTGTCCCCACATTCAGTTGTGTGTCACCTCCGTCTTCCTGCCGTGTCTCTTACCATGGGAATGGAGTTCACAGTGTTATTTCTGGCTGATTCTACTGTAAACTCTTTTCATATTCTGCACATTTCCTGCAGCCGTAACTTACAGTTATTTAAATGGTGCTGGACAGGACTCCCTGCCTCTCCAAGGCTTGGTCTGCCCCTGATGCCAGTTTTGGAATCAGGCCCATGGCGAGCCCAGGGTGTGCATGGAGACAGTGACGGGGAGGAAAGGAAGGTGAGTCTGCAAGACCTTGAGGGGACAGAGGAGCACGATGTGGGGGTGCAGGGGAGATCTGTGGAGCATGGAGACCATCCCGTTTCTCTAGCTGGGACGGGAGATGCAGAGAGTGCAGGGGCGAGGGCGACCCAGGACTCTGAAATGACACGTGGACACAGGTGAGGCTGAGCATCTCTGAGCCAAGCTCCTGGGTGCCTCCGGGAGGAGGAGTCAGGTGGAAGCCGGGGGACCACCGGGGAAGGAAATAGTGATCCAGGCGAGGGTGGGAGAGTGAGAAGGAGCTGGGGTGCTGTGCACACAAGAATGCTCCAGCGGGTTCCCAGGCAGCGTGTAGGGGCTGGGAGGGAGCTTCCCTGCAAGGCTGAGGCTCAGAGCTCTCAGCGAGGGAGGTCGGGCAGGCAGTGCTGCAGGAATGGCCGTGTGTGTATGTGCGCGCGTGTGGACACACAGTCCCCGGTCAGCCCAGCTTGCTGAAGCTGCCGTGAGCGGGCCTCCTTGTCTGCCTTTGGGACACGCAGAGGAAATGGTCCAACCAGAAAGTCTGCACATCCAAACAGCCGTGTCCTCAGAACCATCTGGCCAACGCGGTGACATCACAGGCCTGGAATTCCCTCCGCTCTTGGAAACAGCTGCACACGAATCTTCAGGGACTGGTAGTTAGAATTCTCTCTGTTTATGGAATTTTGTTTTACCTTAAAGTACATTAAAACTATTGATGGCAATATAACTACCCTCCCCCTTTTTAAAAGTGAAAGGCCCTTGAACTTGTATTTGTTTCACTATTTACAACCCAGTCCCTGAGGAAGACCCCCCCCACACACAGGTTCCTTACCGCTCCATGCATCTGATAAAAGAAATGCGCACACACTGAAGTCTGGGCAAGCCATTATGGCTTCTATACGAGTTAACTCGAATTTGATGTGAACTAGAACAGCCTGTTTGTGGCCCATCAAACATGCATTGTCCATTTGCTTTAATTACTAAAGAGAAGGGCCCATTGACTAGACGTAAGAGTGTCCATGTTAAAAGTAAAGATTGAACGCCCCTCTTCCTGGGACGCCCATGCTGGTCCTCCTCTACTGACGAGACCCCCTTCCCGGGTGCCAAGGCCACAGTGACTTGCTGTGGACGGGCTGATCTGTGTGTTTTTTCAAGCCTTGAAGAAACATATCTCTGACTTGTGTGGTGTTCCTTGTTCTGGCAAGATATAAAACTGGGCTGGAAACCCTGCTTTTCCGGAGCAGTTTTGCAGAGTCATCTGGGAAGTGGCTTCCAGGCTGGTCCTCAGTTTGGCTCAAATAAAACCCTTTTCTATTCTTGTGATTGACTGTTTATTGATGACTTTCATCAACACATCTCTGTGGTCACCAGCCCAGACAGCAGCCCCCTCAAGCTCTCTTCTCAGCTCTGCTGGGGGCTGGGGAACGGAGACCAGGCAGGGTGTCAGGGCGGGAAGCTCGGAGCTCCTACGCCACTGTATCCGGCGGGGCGCCCCACGCGGATGGGCCTCCGGACGCGGGAGCATCTCAAAAGCAGGGGCCGTCGGCAAGATCACCCTTATTCCGTATGTAGATGAGGCTTGCCGTCCACACGGGATTATAGTTTCTACTCATGTGGGTTTGGAATGTGAACAGCACGTGACGTTATTCTGGAAACACTTTATCCTAGCTGAAAATTACGAGTTTGCTCTTGCCACGTTAGCAGGATGCACAGAAGGCCTGGCGAGAGGAACACTGTGTTTGCTGCTTGCGAAACTCAGAAGCCACATAGGGGATGAGGCAGTCATCTGAGCCAGCGTCGCGTCTGGAAGGAATTATGCCTCGTGAACTAAGCTGCAGAAGTCGACTGTGCACAAAACACAACACCCGTGTTCAGAGGGGACAGAATCTGCCCATGTCTTGGACACGGCTAGGCCAAAGACTCCCCGACTATAGAAGGCAGGTTTGCACCTATGATCCTCGGCTTCAATCAGAAACAGAATCAAAGTCACGTTCATTACCCCACCCAACAACGACACATCTGTGAGAAGGGAGGCTTCCAAGAAACTGAAAAATTATCTTTACTGTGCAGCTTGAGGCCAGAATTCTCATAGCACTAGAAACATTCCAGACTCTTCTAGTACGTTACTTCTGTCTACACCAGGGGCATGTGACTTAAAAAAAAATAAATGCAGACTTTGCCAACCCCATTAGTTGGTTGGGAAATTGAGGCACAAAAAGTTCCTCGTTCCTTCTGGACTCAGTTCCTTTCCCAGATCGAGCCCTTGTCCCGTCCCACTGACTGCGTGAGAAGTTTTGCTGCCAGCGCTGCGTCTGGGGTGGAAAGTATGGGGTCAGGCAGCGTGTCCGGTCCCCATCACCTGACTCCTCTCTGCCTTTGAATTCTGTCTGGCAAAGGGACCAGTGGAGTTTGCAGTCCCAGCCCAGGCGGGCTACACAAGTCCTCTAGAGAGCAGGCCAGATGCACGTTCAGCGCTGACTTGCACGAGACACTGGGCTCTGGTAAGACCGTGAGCCTTAGAAGTGAGAGGGGAGAGCTTTCCATTTTACCGAGTCCTGCCTGGCCGTCACTTGGGTTTGAGAAACACTGGTGCGCAAGAGGGTGGGCGTGGGGGTGCCAGCGATGGTAGCATGGCAATGTGGAGGCCACTGAATGCACTGCACACCTAAAAATGGTTTAAAAGGATGCATTTTATGTTCTGTGTATCTTACCACCATTATAAAAATAAATTTGAAAAATAGGGTAAGTCTAACTCAAGGAATCAGGATTCTAAGATGGCCCCTGATTCCTGTTTCCTGTCGAGTGGGGCCTGGGCCTGTAAATGGGACAGTATTTCACTCCTGTCATTAAGTTGCTCAGAAGGTAAAGATAAAGAGATTTCACGCACATAATTCAGGTCCCTAATCAGTTGACTTTGAGGCCATTGAGGGGAAGAGCATCCTGGTGGGCCTGACCTAATCAGGGGAGCCCTTTGACAGAGCGCTTCCTGAGAAGAGAGATTTAAAGCAGCAGCTCTCCTGTCAGCCCAGAAGCACTGCTTATTGTGGCGCAGCCCATGTGGCCGGGAAGGGGTGGCCTCTAGGGCCACCTCATACAGTCACAAGGACCCCAGTTCTACCAGCAGCTGAGAGCTTGGGAGGAGACCTGGGATTCCAGCTGGAGGGGACCCTGTGGATCCTGCTGCCTTGACCACAGGAGCTGTGAGTTGTGAGTCTGAGTCGGTGGCCTTGTGGCAGGCAGCCGGGGAAGGTGAGTACAGCCCTGTGGTTGCTGGAACAAACACGTCCATCCGCCGTCTGCTGCTGTGCGCCTGCCACGTCCGGCCTCTCACTGGAATCCCACGGCCACGGCCGCTTCTCTGCTCGGGGAAGAGGCCAAAGGCCCCCACCCAACGAGAGGGAAGCACTGCGCGGGAGACGGCGCAGATGACCTTGCTTTATGTTGACTAAATAAATGTGGATCTGAGAGGAGCCAGAGGAGGGTCCCAGGGAGGCAGAGCTCAGGTTCTGCAAACATGCTGGCCTCTCCCACGAGACGAAGGCGTGAGCTTTAATACACACACTTTAATACTTAACACCAGCTCTCCCAAGGTCTGTCTTGGGGATAGACTTCTTCTCCTGGGGCCAGGTGCGTGGCTCTGATTCTCTGTGTACACAAACCTGCACCCCCCCCCCCGGACAAGGAGGGAGCTGAGCTGAGCGTGCTTGGGGCTTGGAAGCTCTAAGAGGAAGGTGGAAACAGCAGCAGGAAGACACGGGCGGTGTCTGTGGCCACAGGCGAGAACTAGATGTGGGAATTGTTATGGGTGTGAGTGTGTGTGTGTGTATGCATATTTATGTGTATGTGGACACGCACCTGTGCACACACACACAGACCTACATGTATTTCCAACCTCTGTCAGCTGAGCAGGCCGAGGAGCAGTGACACCCCGGCAGGAGTGGCACAACCAGCACCCAGATCTCAGTGGCAGAAGTGGGGCTGATTCCCCTGCTGGGGCAGGAAAAGTATGAGATGGGCCCAAGTCGTCTTTTTGAGTCGGAAAGCAAGGCAGCAGGCCAGAGTGATGGACCGTGTTGAAAAGACAGACCCGGCTGGAAGGGGCTCCCACTGGCTGATTTTAGAACAATTTCAGCATCAAAAGAAATAATTGGATTCCAACCCAGTGCATGAGATAGGAGTCCTTGAGTCCATCCTGACAAAACTAAGTAAAGAAATCAACAGATGAAGAGAGGGGAGAGCTCGCCTACAGCGGAAGGCAAACTGAGAGCCGTGGGAGGAACCTGGCAATAAGCAATCAAGGCCGGGCAACAGTAGTAGTAGCAGTCGGTGCGTGTGTGTCTCCGGCGGGGGTTTTGAGGAGAAGCAGGATATTGGCAAAACACCCCCACAAAATAATCCCTCAGAT